CGTGTGGGGTCGTCCCAGGGCTGCAGGCGGGTCTTTGCTCCCCCATGACTGTCCTTGGGTGCAGGGCACAGCCGGCCTCACCATGGGCTGTACCACGGGCTGCCGGGGAATCTCTGCTCTGGTGCTGGGAGCACCTCCTCCCCCTCACTCTGCACTGGATCTTGGTGTCTGCAGACTTCTCTCTCTCACATCTTGCTCTCTCTGTGGCAAGATCCATCCCTTCTCTTCCTTGGTTTTTTTTTCCTTCTCCAACACATTATCCCAGTGGCATTACAACTGTTGCTGATGGCCTCAGCCTTGGCCAGCAGTGGGTCCATCTTGGAGCCGGCTGGCACTGGCTCTGTCGGGCATAGGGGGGGTTCCTGTCGGACATAGGGGGGCTTCTAGCAGCTTTTCACAGAAGCCATCCCTGTAACCCCCCTGCTATCAAAACCTTGCCACACAAGCCCAATACAATAATTCAGAAAGATTTTGTGACTGAATGCTAGCAATGAAGTTATCTTTCGGTCATACTGCAAACAAGAGAACTTCATCTTTCTGTAACTGTGATAACAGGCTCACTTCAGCCTCTCAGAAAAAATATTTCTTCTTTCATTTCAGATTTCTCTGCCAAATTTCCTTAGACAGAAAAATCACTGCTAGAGCCACTGTCTGCTGCCTCATCATAGTGAGGCCTTTAAAAAAAGGCCAGCTGCAGAATTTCATGTCATAATCAGCAGAGGGAAGACCTTTGACAGATTCAGGAATGTGTTTTATATTAGTTTGTTATGAAAGGCTAAAATTGTCGGCATTTGAGCTCTGGGATTGTGCTTTTATCTGAGGCTCCATCAATTACAGGTGACATCTGATGAAAGTTGTTGTTTTGCTTTTTAGATTGATGTGTTCCTGGCCAGAAGTCTACTTGAGAAGCTGTATCTGTTTCAGGTATTTCAGTTACTTTTTATGCAGTGATAGTTTGTTTAAAATAAATTCAATAAGCAGTAACTTTCCTTAGTGCATCAGCCTGCCAAGATCTTGAACACAGGCAAGCCCATTTGTGTGTCGGTCTGTTGAAACGTTTAGTATTAATTCATTGTCAAGAGAGCAGTGGTCATTTATGGCACAGACATGTCATTAAATCGATCCCTTTAGCCACCCTAAGGAAGTGCTTTTAGTAGATGATGTCTTGTTACTGTGTTTTGGATACATTTGCAGTCTTGTAGCCACTTTCTGTCATCACTGATTTCTGCCATCCTCACGAAGCAAACATTTCTTTAGGAGTGGCCCTGTTTAAGACACCGTCATCAGTATTCGTAAATGGCTGCGAGTCGTCAGAAGAGCTGCCCTGTGTTGTGGAGATAAAACTCACTAGTGATTGAAGGTGGAAATATGTTAGGAAGGTAGAAGTCTGTTTCCAATTCTGCCACTGGATTTCTGTAGCTGTTTTATCCTTGTCATTCACTTTTCCCATCTGCAAAATGGGAAGTCTTTTGAGGCTGTTGGGTGAAATGTTCGTAATAAACCAGCAATGCTCACTGGCAAGCACACTGCCTCCTGTACAGACCCTGTGCACAGCACATGTCAGCAGAGTGTGGTTGGAGACAGCCAGATGTGGTGGACCAGGCCGTGCAGCCTTGCCTGCGAGACACCCACCGTTGCTCCATATCGGGAGTGAGCACTGCTTAGTGATGGGGCCTGGGGGTGTTCTGGAGAAATGGCAGCTCTGAGCAGGATGCAGCTGTGGCTGGAAGATTTCATTTGGATACCACGTTGTCCTCTCGGCTTTCCCAAACGATTCCAAAGAGACAGCCATGTAGCTAATCTTGGGTCTGGTGCCCTGGCTACCTACACGTGGCCCATGTCCTGTAAGCTAACGCTACTTAGGTAAACCCACAAATATTTTAGGTAATAACTCTCCAGAGAGGTAACGCTGAGGGATGGCGTTTTAATTGCTTCCAACACTGCCTTTTTCTGCTGGACTGATGTGTGGTACCATTTTCTTGTGGCATGTGAGGGGCAGGAAGGGGTTGTGTAATGATGAAAGCAGAGGACTTGGGGTGTGTGGGGCGGGAGGCAACAGCTCATACTCTCACATTGCCTGATGACTCACAAATCAGTCAAGTAATTTCTTTTCTTGATGTCTTATATCCATCTGGTAAGTGGATCTGCATGTGAGGGAACAGGGAAGATTAATTTCTGTGAAGTTCTTTGATCTTTAAATGAAGAGGGTTTTTATGAAATGGATTTCTTTTCCAGTATCCTATTCGTCCAGCTTCCATGACGTATGATGATGTTACACATCTGTCAGCGAAGATAAAACCAAAGCAGCAAAAGGTTGGTCAGCATTTCAGTCCAATCTGTAAAAGTAGCTTTATCATAGAATCATAGAATGTTGGAAGGGTTGGAAGGGACCTTAAAGATCATCTAGTTCCAACCCCTGCCATGGGCAGGGACACCTTCCGCTAGACCAGGTTGCTCCAAGCCTCATCCAGCCTGGCGTTGGACACTTCCAGGGATGGGGCATCCACAGCTTCGCTGGGCAACCTGTCCCAGTGCCTCCCCCCCCTCTCCAGGAAGAACTTCTTCCTGATATCTAATCTAAACCTCCCCGCTTTCAATTTAAACCCCTTACCCCTTGTCCTGTCACTACAGGCCCTTGTAAAAAGTCCCCCCCAGCTTCCTTGTAGCCCCTTCAGGTACTGGAAGGTGCTATAAGGTCTCCCTGGAGCCTTCTCTTCTCCAGGCTGAACAAGCCCAACTCTCTCAGCCTGTCCCCATGGCAGAGGTGCTCCAGCCCTCAGACCATCTTTGTGGCCTCCTCTGGACTCGCTCCAACCGGTCGATATCCTTCTGATGTGGGTTCCACAGCTGGATGGCAAATCCAAAAAGAGCAGAGCACAGGGGCAGAGTCCGTTTCCTCAGCCTGCTGGCCACACTTCTCCTGATGCAGCCCCGAATACTGTTGGTTTTCAACCAGGAAAACATTTCTCTTTGAACATCTGTCTGAAGTTTAAAGTTTGAGAGGGGGAATAGTTCTTGTAATTAAAAGCTTGGAGCTTATTTCTGCACATCAGGAATAACTATGAAGTCAGTGGTAAGTGCTGTAGTCCCAGACTGGCCACAGTAGAGGCCTTGGCCCCTGAAGAGGACATAGTTCCTTCATACTGCTTGGCACCCAAGCTAGAAGGAAACATACCTTATGTTTGAGAGATTCTGAATGCGTCCTCAGTGATAGGGAGGCTTGAAGGATATTGCTTGTGCCCTTGGTCTGTACTGGTAAGTGACCTAGACTGATAATGTAGGGAAGGTGTTTTTCAAGGCTGCCTAAAATCCTCTTGTCTCTCTGCTCCCGTTCGTTTACGTGGGAGTTTAGATGTCTCTAGCCTGTTGTTAAATGTCCCCATCCTACAAAACCCCGTATATATGCTGAACTTTATGCATGAGGTTTGCCCTGTGGATTTGAATGATGCTGCTTATCTATTGAAATTTGCTATAAACCTATGGAAATACTAGCACGTGTGGGACTGAATTTTACGTGACGTGTTCGGGGTTCTGCCATGGTAATTAGCTGTCTTTCCTTTCATATGATTTAGGTTGAACTGGAAATGGCCATTGATACTTTGAATCCTAACTACTGTCGCAGCAAAGGAGAACAGATTGCTCTCAATGTCGATGGCACGTGTACAGACGAAACAAGTACCTATTCCTCGTAGGTGTCCTCTTTGCCTTCATTTCCTTTCTGTGGTGAGCGTAGATGTATAGGTGTCCTCCAGGGCCTCAGGGAAAGGTGAGAACAAGGGGCTGTACAGTTGTGGGGGGTGCTTTAGGCACTGTTCTAAAGCAAGAATTCTTCGAAGTAACCTACATTTTTGGTGTGCTTCATGAATTCTGAATTGCAAACAGAATCATAGAATCACAGAATGGTTTGGGTTGGAAGGGACCTTAAAGACCATCTAGTTCCAACCACCTACCATGGGCAGGGACACCTTCCACTCGACCAGGTTGCTCCAAGCCACATCCAGCCTGGCCTTGGACCCTTCCAGGGATGGGGCATCCACAGCTTCTCTGGGCAACCTGTCCCAGTGCCTCCCCACCCTCTCTGGGAAGAATTCCTTCTTGTTAAGATGAGTGTATGTATTTGCTGCAGTCATTGATGCTCCATTTTGAGAACTGATTTCAGACTTTAACATCTGCGTGCCATATAGCCTGTAGAATACAATCTCGCAGCATTCATCTGTCTGCAGGAAGCTGATGGACAAGCAGACTTTCTGCTCTTCGCAAGCTGCGAGTAATGTTTCCCGCTATGCAGCTGCTGTTTATAAAAAAGGTATGTTTTTTTTTGCTTATCCCTCACGTCAGTGAAACATGCTCATTTCAGGGTTAAAACAAGACCTGGTTGTTCTTCAGTCTAGGTTTTAATTGACTCATGTGTCTTCAAAGAAAGGAAAATTCTTCCTTATCAGTGCCCCCAGTGTCCTTGAGAAGATGTAGCAAAATTGTAAATATGATGTCAGAATCCTGTGGGTTTGTAGATGCCTCCAGGATCTTAACAGTGCATGGTGGCCTGAAAGAATACACAGTTGGGGCATACATTTCTTGTTGTTATTTTTATTAGTCTCTAGCTAATTGTGTCTGTTTCGTCTTCCTGTTCAGTATTTTTGCCCCTCTGTCATCTCCTACCACCATCAGAGTTTTGATCTGAGGATCATGTGAGGTGTAGATAATGTAGATTGTCTTCGCTGATGGCTGTTGTACTAGGAGTCTCCTGAAGGTTTTATCAGTTCTGAGCAAGAATGGGGCTCTCTGCAAGATCTTGTGTCAACACAAAAAGGAAAGTTACAGAAATAGGTCTTTCATACCCTTGGAAATCCTGAGCACTGGCACAATTTTTCACTTCAATCCCTTTTTACATTTTACTGTATTTATGTTCAGTCGAAGCTGTGCCTTTACAGAGATGTGAGATGCTGAAAAGTGCTGTCCTTGAGCAGTGGGGAAAAAACCCAGTTCTGACCAACGTTAATTCTCTTTTTTAGGTGAACTTCACCTGACTCCGCTGCATGGAATTCTTCAGCTGAGGCCAAGCTTCACCTACTTGGACAAGGCTGATGCAAAACACCGAGAAAGAGAAGCTGCTAATGAAGGTAAGTGCTCCGTGACTTGTGTTTTCTTTTGGGAGGTGAGGTACAAGTTCTCTCTATCATTTTACTGATAAGAGTCGTTATATTCTGAAGGTGTTTATTAGAACAACATACTGATTATAAGGCCATTCCTCGGATTTTCGGTGGTGGTATTTTCACTGTAGCTGCATAACTGCTTTTGTGGGCACAGTGTGGGGGAGTGGCCGAAGGATGGGAGGTGATGGGTGGCGTCAAAGGGCAGCAGCATGGCGTGTGTCACCACTGCCACTGGAAAGTTGCCCTGCAAACCTTGTGGGAGCAGTATCTCCTGTGACAGGAGGGAGCAGTGTGGTGCTGTCATACATTCCATGGTTTGGCAAGCTGGGATTCAGTCCGTGGTTATGTAGTTTATTCTTCCTGCATGGACCCCCAAACAGTTACAGCTTGGCCTTGGCTTTTTTACTGCAGTGGTGTATTTATTCTGTTGTGGTTTTTGGCAGGTGGTGATTCCTCCCAGGATGAAGCTGAAGATGATGTTAAGCAAATTACTGTATGTCCAAATTTCCTTTTTATGGTAGTTCAGGCAACAGTTCACAAGAAAGCATGACAATCCATACCCAAATAAAAGGCCAGGAAGCATCAGCTAGTCCTGGTGACCCTGGGCTTGGGAGGGGGGAAGCAAAAGGGACTTGCATGTCTTGCATAAGCGTAAAGATGGCGCTGACAGCAGGGAGTGATTGATTTGAGCTAGAGCCCCTAGTTTCTGTTACTTATGTACCAGATAAATACTACAGGTGTTCTGTTTCAAGGACTTTGGGGCTGTATTTAATGATGCCCAAATCTTCTAGGTACGATTCTCCCGCCCTGAGACTGAACAAGCTCGTCAACGACGTGTTCAGTCCTATGAGTTCCTGCAGAAGAGACAAGCAGAAGAACACTGGGTGCATCTGCATTATTATGGCTTGAAGGTAGGTGTGTGCTGGCTGCAAAGGAGGGTGTCTGAGCCTGAAGGCTCAGCCAAGTCTAGGAATGTTTGTAAACTTGGGCCTGTGGGAATCAGGGAATCATCAAAAGATAATGCATAAAAGTAGGTCTGTAGGCTTGAACAGAGCCTGCAGTGTTCTGTACCTCCTCTGCTGGATAATGCTTTGGGGTCTCCACGCTGGAAAAGGTTTAAAACTGAGAGTTGGACAGACATAAATGGGGGTCTGAGTACAACAATCTTGCAGGTCTTGGGTTATGAAATGGACTTTGTTAAGAAAAAACAAACCAAAACCCAAACACAGAACAACTTGGGGACCCCAGTTAGTTGAGCATTGAGTAAAGTCCATTTTGTCTGCCCCACGTGCATGTCTGTCAGGAGATTTTGAAGTCGCAGCACCAGAAATGTTCCCACATCACGTGAGCATCATTCAGGAAGGTGAAAGCAGAAGATCAGTTAGTGATGTGGAGTGCTCGAGTGGTGCAGAAGTGACAGGGCGGTCACAGTTTGGAATGAGGAATCCGGATCTCTGGCATGTTGCATGTTTGCAGTATGTGGCAGTGACTCTTGGGTTTTTTCTGTATCTCCAGGATAGCCGTTCTGAACATGAGCGCCAGTATTTATTTAGTCAAGGTCATGGCCTTGCTGAAAACACGGAGTTAATTAAATCTCCCAGGTAATGGTTTGATGGGGATTGCAGTGATTTGTTGGGATTGTTTTCAGAGTAATAAGCAGGTATATTCTTTAACAGTCTGCTCTTTGATAATTCATGATAAAAATTGAATTGTTTAAAAAATACAAACTAGCCTTCAGCTTACTCAGGTTGCTTTGTTTCCTTCTACTCTACTCTCAGATGAAAACTAGTTGTTTAAACTTGCGATTGTAGCTTCTTGTAGATTATCGCAACCCCACATTATTGAGACTGCGAACACTGTAAAGGAAAAGTAAAGTAAAAGCTCCTTTTGGTTAAAATTAATTAAAGCTCTGAAGCCAATGACTTAGGTTGTTTGCAAATCTTACAGAATTTTCTGTTGTGATTTGTGAGAGACACCTGAGACTCCTTCAGCTTGTTTGGTGTTGCTCCTTGCTGACTGCAGTTAGACAGGAATCTTCCCATGGTGTATACTGATGATAACAGTTAATGCTTCACTGCAGTTGGACACAGCCCTGGCCCAGGGAATAGGAAAGTGGCAGGCTCTGTGTTTAATGGTGTGGGTGTATTTTTCGTAGCGTTTCACATCGCAGTGGAACAGTGCTAGGTGTTCTGAGAAGTCTTCGATCTGACTCTTTCCTCACAGACACTGGTAATTGCATGGGTGGAAGAGACTTTTTGCTGGTTGATGGCCTGGTTCTGTCTACAGGACTTCACGTGGCCCCTCTTACTGCTGTCAGAGCACCTGTGGTTAATGTATTTACTCCTGCAGTTCCTCTCTTTGGACACCTCTTCTGTGCAGGAGGGCTGGGCTTCTCACCCCCAGTTATTTCATCCCTTCTCTTTGGGCAGATGAACGTCAACAATAGTGAATTTACAGAGGAAGATGGGAGACAAAAGGGGAGAGCTCTCTTTCCAGGCTAATGTTCTGTAGATTCACAGAAATAGGATTGCTCTAAGCACGAAATAACTGTATTTAAACCTGGGAAGTCCCAAGACAAGCATTTTAAGGATGTGTTTTCTTTTCTTCTAGTGAATATTTAATGATGCTGATGCCTCCAAGCATAGAGGAAGATAAGTAAGTGTTTATACAGAATGTTCAAAGTCCATATTGGCACGATACTCTTTCTCATGGGCTGCAACTCTGCTTGTTTCTCTGCAGTGACAAACCAGTGGCTCCAAGCAATGTGCTGTCTATGGCCCAGCTGAGAACTTTGCCCCTGGCTGACCAGATTAAGATCCTCATGAAGAATGGTTTGTAACTTTTGTAATACATTCATACTTTGTGACTTCAAATTGCCTTAGATAAGGTACCTTTCCCAGCAGTACCAGTTCTCTCACCTCACCTCTGTCTGGCGCTCTGATTCTGTGAAGAATCCAAATCCCAAGCCTTTCCTTAAGACCTGCTGTGCAGAGCAGAGCAGTAACAGCAGATCTGACTGCTGCTCAGTATGTCTGCAGTCAGCTTCCTCTTGGAATAACTTCTGTCTGATGATAGCTTTCTGAATACATGTGTTTTGGCAGGTATCTCCTGGACTGTGGGATCTGAGCATGAATTAGAAGCTGAAGGTTAATGAAGCAAGCTGCACTTTGGCATTTTCTGGGAAGTTTTCAGTAACACACATTTTGAGCGTTATCTGGAAATTTTGTCTGTTACTGTCTGATGAGGGCAAATCCTGAGGACTTTGCCTCAGGGCCTTCCTGCCTTGTCAGGTGTTCCCAAATATTGCCAAAGGTGCAGATTTTTTAATTAGTATTATTTTATTAATGCATTGGTTTGAGAGCAGTTAAGCTAATCAACTTCAGTGCAACACTAGCAGGTACTTGTAGAAGAGATGCTGACTGTAGTGCAGAGGGAGGACTTGGTGGTTGGGTTTGGGGTTTTTTCTAAGATACAGCTTTGACCATGAACTTCAACAGAAGTCATAGGATCCAAGATTTATAAATCTATGTCTGCATCATGTGCACTGAAAAAACCCTTAATCTGGTGGGTACTTTGCCTTTCAGTGAAGGTCATGCCGTTTGCAAATCTGATGAGTTTAATGGGCTCTGGGACTGACTCTACGGCAGTTCTCCGCTGTATACAGCAGGTGGCAATGCTGGTCCAGGGAAACTGGGTGGTGAAGAGGTAAGGCTCGTCTTTGTTACTGGGACATGGTTTTCTGCTTTAAGGAGAGGATCAGAACAATGGGTTTATATACTCATCCTCCTTGTGTCCCAGAGTAGCCATGTTCTTAACTCACACTACTGTAAAATCTTGGTCTAATGCTTGGTGCTTTTTAGTGCAGTGAGATACTCAAAGGGCTGATGTTAAAGGATAATACATCAGTACCTACCCCAGCTAAAATTATGTCTGAGCAGTGATGCATTTTCACTTGAGTTACATCAGCTTTTTGATGTTGTCTTCACTCGTGTTCTTTTGTGAGAGGACTGTCCCAAATTCTTCCAGAGGCTCATGTCAAATACAAACACAGAAAATAAAACACAGGTCAGCTGTAGTATTCCTTAGCTAAATCCAGTCAAAGAAAGATCTTTGTGCTCCGTGCTATTCCCCAGTGGATGCTGCTCTTGTCAGCTCAAAGCTACCCTCTAGAAGGCATTACTTGCTTAATAAATCAAGTGGGGCATGCTGAGTGAACCACATGAAATGGATTCTCTATCATCCTCCTGTTTAGTAGGATAAAGCATCCCACTGGGAACTGGAGTCTAAAGTGCAGTAGGATTTTTTTTTTACCTGGATGGAGCACTGCATGCAGAGAATTCTAGTCTCTGGGATAGCTCTCTGTGCTAAGGTTGAGTGGCACCAGCCACCAGCCCAAGTCTGTTAGCAGGATGTGTTTCAGCTATTGTGATGCAGGCTCGTTTTAGCGATGTGAACAGTTTTTACAGCAACCCTCACTGCCCTCCAGCCGTTCCAGAAGGAAGCTGGAAGCAAGTTAAAAGACAGCATATTAGCATTCAGATTGTTTTCATACTACAGATGAGTCTTTGCTACTCATCTGAGGAGGATGTGTGTATCTTTAGTGGATGTGGCATGTCTGGGATGGTTGGGCACGGAGCAGCACGTGACACACCAGAGCTTTAAATGGAGAGGGGATCCATTTCTTGGACTGGGTGGGACCAAGGTCGTGAACCTGGTTGCTTTGAGGATTTGGAGACCATGCTAACAAATGTCATCCACTTGGTCTTGCAAGCAGGCAAGGACACAGGGTGGTGTTGGTCTCAGGGCTGTTGGTTCAAGCATGACGTTTTGCAGCAGTGTTCTCCTAAGCTCTTGATTGCTGGGAAAGAAATAAAACCTCTTATGCCCGGATGTCAGCATTTTGGCTGAATACTGCCTTCAAGGCTGTGTAGCAGGTTAGCCTGAGCATTCCTTAGGATTGTTCTGGTCTTGTTTACACCGATCCAAGGGAGGATAGGCTTTGCAAGAACAAAGCAGAGCTTGTACCTGTGCTGCACGCATCTGCTAGCCACAAGGCTGTGGTTTGCTGCTGTAAGCCTTTTTGCACCAGTGTAATTGCAGTGGTGTAATCACACCAATATTAACTCCTTTGATGAAGACCGTGCTTTGGATAAAGGTATAATTTAAGTGTAGAACAGAGAGGACGTTTGTTACGTTAACCTTCACCAATGCCATTTTTCTGGAATACCTAGTAACTAATCCATCTTCCTTTTTAATTAACAGTGATGTCCTCTACCCAAAAGATACTTCTAGTCCACATAGTGGAGTCCCTGCAGAAGTGCTGTGTAGAGGGAGAGACTTTGTTGTAAGTACAGAAGTGTGTGTGGGTTTTAAAGAAAAATGGAGGTGAGGTTTGCTGGAAGGTGGCAGCATTGCAAAACTTAGCTGCTCCTCTGCAATAGGGTGTTTTCTCCAAAGAAATAATTTGTACTTTAATCCTGAAGGTGTTGTTACAAGTCTGTCATGGGAGTGCTGGTGTAGACTGACATTGTGGCTGGCTGGCAGGTTCAGATAATCTGTCATTAACAGTAGCCATCCCTTTCCAATACATGTTGTAGAGCCACTATCACACAGCCCTCGCGATGCCAAGACTGGATAATAAAGTGCTTGTTTCTCCAGGTACATTTCTGTGGGCTCAGGACTGTGAGGTTTCCTGGATGGGAAAGCCTTGTTCTCCCTGGGTTTGCACTGTTCATCTTTAAAAAGGACTTTATTCCCCAGAGCTCCTGATCAATGGAATGACTTTGTTCCCAGGCACCTTTTGTGAGGAGTAGATGCACATGGAAGTTGAAATGAATACAGGTCTTGTAAACGCACACGTAGCCACAGCAGAAAGGAACAACCTCTGCATTGTATTTATTTTTGCTAACCATGGAAAGAATTAAGTTCCTAAGTCATTCCTAAGTTCCTATTCAGTTTGTGGCTTCCACCCATCAAAGAGAAGCTGACAGGTGCATTGGTCTCATTTTTTTTCAGTTAGACCTGACTGTTTCCCTTGTTTGCAAAGTTTTTCTTAGGAGATTTAGCTCTGAACAGGAGCGTGCTGTGCAAGAGACTGTAAGGATGATACAGTACTCGTGTAAGATAAAACTGATGGTGACTGAGACTGAGTTTTCATTGTGCTGTGGTGTCTGCCCAAGACACTGCCGTATGGAGACCGGGATTCAGATGTGACCCAGTGACCTAAGTCTTTAGGACGCAGCAGATTAGGTGGCATGTTGTGTGTAAAGTTCTAGGGGCCAGAAATTGTTACGCTCAGTTAAGTAAGCGGTAGTGTTGTAGTGATTAAGATGTAAAGATCAATTATTTGCATGTGAATTATGTCAAATGTACCTTGCATGAGAAATGGATCTGTGTTGGTCTAAAAGGCAAGTAATTTGCTGATTAGCTCTACAACAGGGAAAAAATGTTAAACAGTAGAAAGCATCGATATGTCTGGCTTTCAGACAAAGTGAAATGTCTGGTCAGAAGGCTCAGGAGTAGTATGCAATGCTGTATGGCATCTGTGGTCAAAATGTGGTGTAGCTTAAAAAGTGAACTTTATTTCGCTGTATAGATTTGTGTAAAGTAATTAATAAGGTTAAAAAGTATCTATGGCCAATAGCGACTTAATTAGTGTCCACCTGTTCCATGCTGTACTTTGGGCAGGAGGAAGAGCAATTTGTGTCCTTTCTGAAAGCTTCTGTCTTTTTCCCCAGATTCTCACTTAATAAATTCAGAGGACGTGAGCACCACTGGCTCGCGTTGAGGGTAAAGGGCCTAATGAGCAACGGCTGCCTCGGAGTTGCATGCGAGGAGAGCCAATCGATCTACTTTCTTTGGAGAGCAGCTTTTTGTCCTTTAAAACAGCAGTGCCCTGTGCCCTAAAGTGAGCGTGGTGGTTTTGTGTGTTTGTGGACAGAGAGAAGGATGCCTACATGACGTCGTAGGGCAGGAAGAAGTTGGCAGTAACGAGTTTTTGAATTCTTCGCAGCGTTATTAGCACGCACAGACTAAAAGAGGTTGTAGTCTATTTAAATGGAGACAGGAAGAAATTAAAGGGCATGTTCAGACAGTGTTCTGGCCAAGCCCTCATGCACCCTGTTAGCCTGTCCTCAGCAGCTGCCTCTCGAGATGTTACTGGGAGCTGCTCTGCAGACCACCTAGCTTTTCCATTGCCTGGGAGCAAGTAGGAGTGAGAGGCCGCCTCGGCAGAACTGTGTGACAGCAGTGTGCGCTGAAGAAGGGAACAGGCACTTTCCAGGGGGCTGTGTGCTGCAGAAAGGCAACAGTCATCAGCCTCTACAGGCCCCTACCTTAACAGAAGTGGATGAAGGGTTTCTTTAGGTTGGTGATCAGGTATGTGAGAGCTGAGCCTCAGGTGTGGCTTCTGGAGTCCCAGCAACACTGCAGTGGAATTTTTTTTTTTGAAGCTAAATGAAATTTGAGTTGAAGAGAGTCTTTATAGCTTTTGTAGTCACAGGTTCACCAAGGCAAACTGTGTTCTATCAAAGCTTTCAATACTGTGTTCATGGTCATTTGGGGACAGAAGAGGCCAGAAAGTGTTTTCCCACTACCTGGCCGAGAATCACCTACTTCCACGTTCTTGAAAGGAATCGGGTTCCCATTTTTCTGGTAACATTACTGAAAAGGGTCATTAATGCAATTTCAGTAAAGCAACTGCTAAGTACAGTTACTAGGTTGTCTCCTTTGTTCCCATCTAGATGTGGAAGTTCACACAGGACCGCTGGGTGGTGAGAAAAGAAGTGGCAGCAGTTACAAAGGTGAGTGTTGGGTGGTGTTTTTTCCTTCCTAAATCAGAAGTTGATGGTCAGTGTTGGCATTGTCTGCAGGTTGGTAGTGGATGCTGCTGCAAGCCTTTTCTCAGGTTCACAACATCTGCATTACTGCTGACTTGCAGTGTTGCTCACCAAGCATGCCTTTGCTTTGGAACGGGTACAGATACACACTCTTTTCAGACATGTTTTGAGCAGCTCTCACAGTTATGATGACTACAGGATGTGACTGTCCTTGTAGCTGAGCCACTGGAATGCATCTTGTCCGCTCATCTGTGTCAGTGGAAAGGCAAACCCAGTTTGAATTAGGCTGACTGTTTGTGCACCAGAGCAGATGAGTGCTCGTGCTGCCCACACTAGCTGCTCTGCTTTGGGTGTGTTGCAAAAGAGCAGCTCTTGTGTGGGTATTGGCCACTTGTCAGTGTTGAATAATAGCTTTAAAGCAGCTCAGGCACCCAGATGTTGTGTTAAAACTGGCAAATGAATGAGAAAGATTAAGTAAAGAGGACAAAAAATATTTCCTTAAAATGCAGTAAAAGGATAAGACAGGAGTCAGTTTATGCACAGACCGTCTGGTTTTAGAACGTAAGATTCAGTGCTGCTTAACAGCTGTGCACGTGTAGGTGCAGCATGTCTGACCTGCAGCTCTAAAATAAGGTCATCAGTGTAGAATATGCTTCTCTTCACAATAGAGCCTTTTCTTCTCAGTTTGGAAACTCCCTTTTCTTCATAAAACATGCCAGGAACTATCAGACTCTCAGGTGGTTAATCACCACTGCTCTCTGAAGTCCTGTTCTTTTAACGTTGTGTGAAAGTGTTGGTTCTGCAGAGAAGGATGAGCATCTCTGACGTAGCTGGGCGTGTGTTCATGGAGGTGCCCCATACATACCAGATTAGCGTGGAACACTGCCCATGGCTGCAAACGTCCGATGTAAAGTAACTTCTGTGTTATTTATGCTTTTTCTTTTAGCTTTGCCCCGAAGATGTGAAAGACTTCCTAGAGCACATGTCTGTGGCGAGAATAAACAAAGGTTGGGAGTTCATGCTCCCTTATGATGAAGACTTTGTTAAGAAGCATCCAGATATAGTTCAGAGGCAACATATGCTGTGGATGGGCATTCAGGCCAAGTACATGACTTGTTTTATTTTGGGGAATAAGCTAAAACCAGAACTGTGTAGTACAGCGTATCTGTAGACACTGACAGATAGTTGGATCTGTATGGGCTTGAAGGTTTCCCCGACAGTCACCAGGCAGTGGGGTGGGGGGTGTCACTGCACCATTCGGGTCGTTCCTGGTCCTTGGCTCCCTAGAGAAATTGGATGTTCTAGCTGATGGCTGCAGCTGGCATGGCTGCATCCAGGCCTAACAGCTGAAGCCGCCCTGGTGTATTTTGTCTTTCAGGTTAGAAAAGGTCTATAATCTCTTAAAGGAGCATTTGACACCAAAGAGACAAGAGGCACAATCAGGTAAATGGAATTGTGCTTGGATCATCTTCAAGCACATGCACCCCTCCATATTCCTTCCTGGGTGATGTTCTGGAGTTCCTCTGTGGATTTGAACATGATGGGGACTGGTCTTGTTTTCTTTAATATTTTTCCTTTCTTGCAATTTCTTCTGGATTATTTGAGACAGATCTTGGTCTGTACCAACATCACAGGTCTTGGGGTGACTCAAGCTTACTGTAGCATCCTTGTAGCAGAGCAGGGAGGATTTCTTGGCACTGGGGACTTGCTGTTCGGCAGTGTAAAACCAGCTAGTTTTGTTACCCACTTTTTCATTTAAGGCAGCTTGTATGGTCTAAGGATGTAAGGGCTCCTGAGTCGAGGGCGGGGCCAGTGCACAAGTAAGTCTCACCTCTCACTTTGCAAGCTAATGTGCATGAGGTGGGGTTTTTTATTTCCCCTGACTTGCACTGGGCACGGGTGGTGTGTTTGAGGGCTGAGCAATTACTGTGTTTGGCAGGGGCTGTAAGGAGGTGTGAAGCTGTCTCTTTTTGACATCCTTCACCACGGTTGCCGGTGAGAGTATTAAAGTAGCTGCTTCCTAATCCTAAAAGATTGTGAAAACTTGAGATTCCAGAGAGTTTTAACTAGGCGGTTGGCTCCTTGCCAGACACCGGAGCAAATGAAGAGTATAAGCAGAACTGACAAATGAGCGTATGAATCCATTTCAATGCCCTGTGTCTGATCTGCTTGGAAGGATTAGATGTTGGGTTATTTGGAGGGGATTAGCGAGCCTAACAGCAGAGAAGATAACAGCATGTGTGCTGTGCATGCTTTTGCCTTAAACACAGCACCTCTTCCCTTGGCTTTGAGACTAGTTTTCTCTGGTGCCAACACGCCCCTTCCTTTCACCTTTGGATCGCTGAGTGTGGAGAGGGCAGGAAGAGGTGCAGGATTGCATGTGCAAGGACTGCCTCCTGTCCCTTTCTCCCCATCACTGGGTAATAAGACAAAGAAGAGGGTCTCAGGCTCCCATACTGTGCATCTCATGATAAAAGGGTGTTCAGGTTCACTGTTAACCCCTTCACGCTCCTGGCTGTACCTGCAGGACATCCTTGTGCTGGCCCTCGCAGCAGGCCCCACCGGCCACTAAGACACAGTAGATACTAGTTACTGGGCAGCAAAGCATTTGGGTCACACACAGAGATGTGCAAGCAGCCTGTGTACTGGTCTGATGACTGTGGGAAAGGCCCTAGTGATTGAACAAATGCACTTTGTCTTTGCTTCAGGTTCCTTTTCAGGAACGCTCTTCTCCAGGCATCTGGCTTACAATTGTCAGCATGATTGTCTTTTTAAAAAAACAAATGTACACACGAAAACCCAACCCACCACCCCAAACTGAAATAAAATCTAGTTTAAAAAATGGGTTTATGCCTTAGGTTTCACAAGCAGATGATGTTTCCTGGGTTTATTTCACTGAGACCTTCAAGAAACGTTCTGCAGGACGGGAGCCTTGGTGAGATTTAGGATATCTCTTTGTTTCTTACTAGCTCATCCGTTGCTGGTTTCTGGGGAGCAAAGGGTCAACATGGCTAAAGCAAAAGTGAAGCAGAACTATGGGCAGCTGGAGAAGGACTTCCAGAAGCAAAAGGCAGAGTTGAAATCAAATGAGACCTCAGCCAAGATGGATGTTTCCAATATCCGCATTAAAGAGGAGCCTGTGAGTGATGAGGAGGCGATGGATACCTCGGCTTATGAGGGCATGAACAACGGCATTACCAACGGTCTCCATGCAGAGGAGGACTCCACGGACTCATTGAACGGCCACTTGCCTGGAGGCTGCATTGACCGGGTAGCCCAAGAACTGAAGGCATTTGTGTCCTCAACATTTAAGAAACAATTTGTACTCACCCTGAGTGAACTTAAACGATTATTTAACCTTCACTTAGCCAGTCTGCCTCCAGGACATACGTTGTTCAGTGGCATTTCGGACAAAATGTTACAGGACATGGTGTTGGACACTGGCTGTAAACAGATTTTGGTGCCTGTAAGTATGTTCTTCCCTGGGTGTACTCTGGGAGGAGGGATTGGGGGGGAAGTTAAACATCTGCGCTGTGAAATGTTTGTGTCCTGTGCTGAGGGACCGGCAGAACAGATGTGCTCAGAGTCCAGTACTGGCTGTATTGAAGCTGCTGGAGGTTTGTCTGGTGCCCTGTGTCTGGCGGGCCCTGCACTCTGCTTTCGTTGTTCAGTGGTGTGCTGCGTAGCTTAGTTGTCCCTGCGGCTCTGTTTGCAGGTCCAGGCTGTTGGGCTGCAGTGACTAACTGTCCCAGCTTGCTCCTGTTAACACCATCTAAGGCAGTCCCAGATTCCCATCGGCTCTCTCGGAGTTGCACAAGCTCCTTCTCTCAGGGACAGGATGCAGCCCGGGGAGGAAAAGTGGCACCGAGTGCTTGGGAGTGGCGAGGCACACCCAGCACAGCCCCCTGGGAAGCCACAGACCACGTCTGCAGCAGATTTCTTTGGTCAGGCCCTCCTAGACTGTGCAGAGGTGTCTGTGTCTTTATGGAAATGACGTGTGTGATTGCGTGAGACAGGGACAGGCTTCTGTGACAGCTTAAGAAAGGAAAAGGAATTTGGCATCATGGGAAAGAGCCTAAAAGGAAATTAATCTTACAAGACATCTGACGGTGCTGGCTGGGCTGCAACCAGAGAGCTTGGGAGTCAGCTGCCTTGGGGGAGAGAGGAAGAGAAATGCAAACTGCTGGAAAGAGGAGGAAGCAGGCAGGCAGACGAGAGCCTGCAGCATGGGAGCTGAAACCCAGCTCAGCAATAAGGGTTGCTGGCGGGGGGCAGAAATGGCATATTCAGTCATGTGCAGAGTACGTGTTGCGGCACCTGGGAACAGACTTGAAATGCCACTAGGGAGACCACCAGTTTTGGTAGTTCCTGCTTTCTCTTGACAGCTTCTGAGTCCCATGGTGGTGTTTGCCTGGAACTGCCTCGGCACTGTCCGGGCTCTCCTTCGCAGGGGTGCAGCGTGTGCCTGGGCCGTGCTGGTGGTGAGCAGCTGGGGTCATCACTGCTCTCTTCCTTGGGACTGGGACTTCTTGCTTTGGAAATCTGGGGATTTGGGGAATCATTCTGTCCACTCTCTGCTTAAAGGCTGTGAGGAGTGACAGTGGGATAGTTTCTGTTTTTTCAAAAACCAACCAAAATAAAGCCCTCCCAAAGAGAGGTCGTTGGAAACTTCCTTCTGTCTGGAAAGCCTGTCAGAGGAGACCTGCAGAGATGTAGCAGTGGTCACTGGAACGTCTCTTGATGGAGGTCTCCTCTGAGTTTTAGTTCTGCTGACCCAGAATGGACTGCAGAATTTGAGAGAGGAGCCTGTGTAAGCCTGTGCTGTTATCAGCTATGTAAACTGTTACCCTCAGGCTTCCCCGATGTTCTGGGCAGATGGCAGAGGTGCCAGGGCTGCTTTTCTTCTCTGTGTGGGCTCATACACATCGGTATTTCTTGATTGTTCCCCTGGCCAGTTTTGTCAGAGTGCAGCGAGGATGGCTGAGCTCGGGGGAAGCCTGGAGGGTTGTTTAGTGTGGGATTTCATAGTTGCTCATTAGTTTTCTGTAATTGAAAGGGCTTTGGTGATAAAAATCAATGATCTGAGGTAATTAAAATGATGTTCTGTAGGGGGTGAAGACACTCTTGGCTTATGGGCTGCCCTATTATAGAAAATATGTGGCTGAAAATGGCAATTTAAACGTTACTGGGGGAATGCAGGATTTATTATAAAGCTGACCAGCTGCACCCAGGGCATGAGATAAGTGGTGTTTGTGGGAGTCAGAAGAGATGCCGCTCCGGCTCTGGCTGCAGCTGAGGCCGTGGGGATGTCTGCAGGGTGCTGTGCTCGCCTGTGCTTTGTAGCATCCTCAGGTGGGAGCTACAAAGCCCAGGTAAGGGAACAGTGAATCCTGGGCAGAGGCAGCTGGGTGCAGCGGGCTGCTGCCGCCCTCAGGGAGGGCGAGCAGAGGCACCCTGGGCACACTGGCACTGCGCTGCGGCCAGAGCCTGCGCAGGCCGAGCCTGCGGCCAGCCTCATGGGTGGACTCACTCCTGAGTATCTGCACCCGTTTCCTGCAGGCAGGTGGGGGTGCATGGGGGTGGCTGGCTCCTCCTGGCTCCTCCCTGGTGGTCTGTGGGGCAGCACAGTTCTGCCCAAATCTTGAGAATATTTCTGAGGCCTCAGGAAGTGACGGAAACGTCGCTGCATCCTGCCCGGCTAACGGGAGAGGGATGCAGCCCTGTGCTTGCAGCGAGCCTTGTGGGCTGCTGCCGATGCCAGGCTCAGCAGTTCCCTTGAGGATCACCCCAGCTCATAAGGGTTGGTTTTCTCCTGGCAGGCTCAGCCCCTTTCAGTCTGGTTTAGCTGTAGTGTGAGGCTGCCCAGCAGTGGCTATTTTTGGGGTGTTGCTCAGTGCTTGAGTGAGACATCCCAAAGCCACGGGCTCCTCCCCAAAAGCTTCCGTTTTAGCGTGGCAGCCCTGGGGATCCAGGCAGCAGATCAACTGGAAGCCATGCACTCTAGATGAGAGCAGGAAGGGGCAGAGGGCAGGTCTTTTAAAGAAGGATTTTGAAGGCAGTGGAGAGCTGTTTGAGGGTGGAGCTGGAGAGATTAAGATCACAAACATAAAATGGCAGAGAGACAGGAAAGCAGCTCGGACAGAGCAGCGTGTCTCTGCCTGTGGACAGGCCGTACGACAGAAGCGAGTGAGCAGGGTGCAGTGTTTGCAGTGTAAGACTGGAGGGAAGGAGAGATTCGGTGGGTTTTTCTTCCCAAGTAAGTATTGTGTTGGTTTGGAAGCTGTTCCCTCGTGGAATGGCCAGATTAACTTAGCTGCGTTTCAGACTTGGGGCTGAGGCGGGAGGAGTTTGCACTCTGGTTGAGTGACTCTCCAGCAAGGCAGCTGTGGCTGGGTGCTCCCAGTATCCTGCGTTTTGCCTTCCTGCTGCAGCCTGTCTCTGGAGGAAAGCTAAAGTATTTTATTTTACCTGTGCTGGAAGCACGCAAGGGATATTATGAGTGACCTTACGAGAACTGTGCCAGATGTTCTGAGCCTAATAAACCTGAATCCTGGCTCTAAACCAGGTGTAAAACCTGGTTATATTCCTGCCGTGTGGACCAACAGGAGAGCCAAAGGTGCTAATCCCACCAGGCAGCTCCCGTGGACACCACCTCCCTTTGCAGTAAGATGAGATGCAGAGCGTGAGGGGAAGGGCCGATCTTTCACTTTGATGCCGAAGTCTTCTGGTGCGGTGTAAGGGGGGCTGGGAAGAAAGGTTTGGTGTGTACCATCAGCCCAGAGCGAGGGATACTGGGACAATCAGGACTGGCTGTTCACAGATGACAGATTTAGGTTGTCTGGGTGGTTAGCAAAGAATAGATTGTTGGTGACAGGCAGGAAGAGACATGTCAGGAGCAAAGGCATATTCCAGCATTGCTCATTAGTTACTGCTCCAAGGGGAAACATTAAGGCAAATGGATGGGATTTAATTTCTTTTAGGAATTTGGGGCATGGAGGGGAGTCAGTTGTGCTCCTTCCTGTATGCAGGGGTGTGAGGCCTCTGCCTCAGAAAAAACAAGTTTATTTCTCAAGTTTGGCACATGGGAAACAAACAAACCAACCGAATCACTTTGGCTTTGGGGCCCGAAATGAGCAAGTGTCTGGTTTGTTGTCCATCAGCATTCAGTCCTCTGGAGTGCAGTCTGCCCCAAAACAGGTGACAAATACAGCCTGTCAGGAATGCTGACGTGGGATTAGTGAAGCAGATAAATACAGGATAGAGGCTGAATCTCTAAAACCTGCCACTGTGAATGTAGAAACCCTCAGCAGGACCGTGCAGTGCACTGGGTGCTCTCAGTTGAATACTGCTTTGGATGGTGCAGTAGCCAACAATGCCGACAGGAAAGACCTAGACATCTCACTGTGATACACCAGTTAAGGTCCCAGCCTTGAGACTGGTCTTCTGGTATGTGGTGGTTGGCCCCTGTCCAAGGGGAAACTGTCTGCCTGCAAAATTCACAGGGTCCCAGGATGCCCGGAGGTTGCCATGTAAAGCTCCGAAGTGGTCGGTGGTGTGCCAGACGGGGCCCGTGGCACTGCTGCGGGTGACCCCACCGTGACCAGAAGCATCAGTCAGACGTGGCTCGGGCGTGTCAAGGGTACCATGGTGCTCGCCCTACTCCCTAGACCACAGTGACCCCCTCGTTAATTTGGGGTTTGTGTGCCACAGGATCCTGGCAGGGCAGGTTTGATACAGGTGGTTTTCCTCTTGAAGTCACTGGGGCCTGCGAGGTGTGTGGCGCCGGGCCGGGCCTGAGCAGGCACAGGGGCTGCCAGAGCAAAGTCACCCCTTCGAGCATGGAACGGGAGAGGCATTTACGTTGTTTCAGCAGTTCTCACTGCATAGCAACAATGGTTTTGATTCAGTAATAGGTGTCCAGGGATACCGCATCACAGCATCGTTAAGCAGAACTCATTAAACAGATGGTTATTTTTAACAGCCTCTTGTTCTCAGTTTCCTCCACAGACTGCTGCTTCACCAGATGAGCTGAAGGTCTATGCGCTTTGGGAAGCTGGTGACACTTATGATCAGGTAAAGATCATAAAGATCAAGTGACATTCCCAAATACAAGTTTATAGAGCATTTGGCATTGTTTGAATTTGGGTTTCTGGGAGTGGTACAGCAGGTCGTTTTCCTCCTTCCCTGCTAAGTGTCCTGTTTTCAGTACCTCCTGTTGGCAGCTGAGAGGAAGCTCTGAGCTCACAGGGTGATCATTGCTGGGTCAAGAGAAGGCAGTGTGAGCACAGCCAACATCCTATGTTGGTAAGACCTGTCCGCAGCTCAGTGGCATACAGATAATTCCGAAGGCGTGAGGAGAGGATTCTGCAGTGCAGACTGCACACCAGATCTAGTGCTTTTTTTTTTCTTTGATGGTAATGCAACATTAACCAGAGGTGAAAGGGTGATGTTACCTGATGTATCTGTCTGTAGTTAGAACAGGAGAAGATTGCAGTGTCTGTGAGCATCTCCTGAGTTGTAATTGCCGTCAGAGCAAATGAAGTGAAAGGGCAGGCCCCTAACAAGATGTGGATGGGCACTGTTAACTCCTGTGTCCGTGATCTAAACCGGTCTTTGTAAGAACGAGTCGAGCAGTGTCCAGCCTCCTGGCTGGAGTGGGCTATGTGAACTCCTGCGGAAGCATTTGAGAGGACTGTGTTGCAGCCCCTTCTTCAGCATGTTTTTGTGCCTGTGGAGGTGCCCCACGTCGCAGGAGAGGGGCAGATCCTGCCACGGGGTGTGGAGAGACTCCTGTAGGGCCCTTGGAGGCCCTGCTACAGAGCAGATGTGTGTGAGATGGTTGTGGGATTGCGAAGCAACAATCCTCTGATGTAATTCAGTGAATGGTTTGTCCAGTCTAAGGCACATGCAGCTCTGAGATACAGAAAGATGGAAAAAGCTGTTCTTCTCTTTGTGCTTACGATACATTTTCTTCTAAAGCATCGTCAAGTTTTGCTTGAAATCTTTTCGAAAAACTACCGAGTGCGCAGGAATGTCATCCAGAATCAGCTGAGCCAGGAATGTGGGGAGGATCTAAACAAGCAGGAGGTGGATAGAGTGTTAAAGGTAAGTTTCTGTTCTGGCGTGGGTTTGATGCAATTAAAACATGAATTTTTAATGCTTGGTTGGAGCAAAGGATCATGTTTTAACTTGAACTGACAAACAATAAGGATGTGACAAACGATCAGGATGACGGAACAGTTGTTGGAATGTGGACAAAGCCTGGTTTTCAGCTTGTTTTCGTAAACGTAGTCTTGTCTCATCCTACCTCCTTTCTCTCAAAGGAGCAGTGATTGCGACTCATGCGTTACTTTGTGTTGTTGCAGCAAATCTTTGTCAGCGTGGGCCAGCAGAGAATGCAGTGTAGCAAATGGGATACTTCAGTTGGTTTTAAGTAAGGTGGAGTTAAACATTAAGGAGGTGGGAGGGTTCTGCAGTGTTCTGCATTCCCCAGCTGGCTGCTCTTGGTTGAAGCTGAAGAGCACAAGTGGCACAGACTCACAAGGAAATGCAGCAAAACCCCAGCCAAAACAAGCAGGCATAGTAGTAGTTAACACTACTAACTAGTAGTTAACACTACTAACATCTCACTGTGAGTGTTTATTGGAATCCTTTCATCTCTGTCTTGGAAGGTGCACCATTTACGTGCTAAAGACGTTTCAGGTGTCAGGTACAGACCACACAGGCCATGATGACAAGCTTTAAAAGCGATGCAGAAAGTTGCCAACTAATGTCATGCTTTAGTCATCGCTGCTGGGCCGTCGCTCTCTGTCACTCACCTCAGTGAGACATGAGCGTAGGCACTTCACTGCTTTGGGATCCGCCAGCGGACAGTAGCGTAGCTGAAAACTCACAGACGTGTGGCAGTCATAAAGAGCAAACTGGTCTTGCTTGGAAGCATCTGGTCGCCTTAGCTCAGACAGTTCTGCCCCCTAGAGAGAATTCCATGGGGCTTGGGTGTGCTGGGAGATTGGCCAAGCAAGTCGATGAGCTGGGAGACAGCTCTCCTGGAGCATCTGGATCGGCACTCGGTTTTCATGGTGCTGTTGCGGTTTAACACACAAGGTGTTTCTAGAAAAAACACCTTCCCCCGAAGGACTGGGTACTGCTTTTACGTACGCCACCAGGCAGTCGTGCGACCAGCGTCTGTTGTGTCAGACTTTGCCCTGAATACATTTGTCACACAAATACGTGAAATCACCTGTTTCTGAAAGAGAAGCTAGAAGTATGATTTAATGAAGTAGGATTCTCGGGCTTCTTTAAGCCACAGGAGATTGGATTCCTCTTTGAACGGAATTGGATTGGTTGTCTCCTGTGCCCCACCTGCGTGTGCTCCTTTGTTATGCACAGAGGGACGGGTTTGCGTTTTTGCAGCTACAGATCAAGTCTGCACACCCTCTTTCTACCCTCCACACTTAACTTCTTACTCGTTTTTGAGGTGTGCAAGCCCCGCGACTTCGCAGTGTTTTCGCTGTACGCTCCAGAGCGGCCGTTCCGTAGCAGTACTGGTGTTGCGTGACCGACACGGGGCAGGGGGAGCAAAAGCAAGAGACCGTTAGCTCAGAACTCAGGAGACTTGGGGCTCAGCTCACAGGAACAAGATGAGCCACAGGAAAAGCCGCACACTGAGCTTTGCTGTGCGCCTCCCCGCTGCCAGCCCAGCAGACGTGCGACCACCGAAGCACGGGCCGAGGTTTGACGCTTCAGTGTCGCAGAACGTTGTTCTCGGCCTTAAAAGGCTTCAGGGCAGGTGACTGCCTTCGCGATCCATCCCGTTCCCACGGCGTCTCTGGAGCTTCAGCCTGCGTTTCCCCTCTGCTCCCCGTGGCCTTTCCTGAGCTGGCTTCTGCGCAATCCCCGACTTCTCCCCGGAACGGCTGGGTTCTTGCTGGCAGCACCTTATCCTCCCCCTGGCCTCTCAGCAACCCTCTCCTTGTCTTTCTCACCTTCATTTAAGCCGTCTGGACTTCAGGGTGGCGATAACCTGCTGCTCTGGATTCCTGCTCCGCCTTGCGCACCAGAGAGACTTCTGTCACCCATCGCATCTCTTGTCCCAGGGCCAGGCCGCGGTTCCCCACACCTCACGGCCTTTCCCTTTCTCCCCAGGACTGCTGCGTGAGCTACGGTGGCATGTGGTATCTTAAGGGGACGGTGCAGTCTTGACAGCGGCGGTGGCAGTTTCAAGCCATCTCCAGGAAGGAAGAGGAAACCTGCAGCGGGCAGCAGAGAGAGAGCGATGCCGCGGCCTTGGGAGCGTGGGACAGGATCCGACCGACCTGGGGGCACGTGGGCATTGCAGACAGTCGCTGGCCAAAACGCCCGCGCTGCCATGTCCGCCTAAGCACGAGAGCAGCTGGGAGGGCAGCGTGGGACCCCGTCTGCAGGCTGATTAATCTGGGATTTCTAGTGTATTTCAATCCTCATTCTGTTTCATTATCAAAAATAAAACCATATACTGATGCAGACATGATGGAAAATCACAGTCCAATACTTTATTTTGTAAGTAACGCCAATAAATTAAACTTGTTTACAAACATCCCAGGTTTTGTTACGTACCTAGATGCTCCCACTTCCGTCCGAGCACTCTACTAGCCCCGGCAGCCCCTTCACGCACGAGTGTCACGGCGGCGGCAGCGTCAGGCCAGGGACGTGGAGGCAACGCACCATCTGAGCGCCGTGCCACAGCAAACGCACCATCTGAGCGCCATGCCACAGCGACCGTCTGCGCCAGGAGCCGTCGGGGAAAGCACGGACGCACGGAGCAGCCGCGGAGTGACTGCTGGGGTGGGCTGAGCAGTGGGGGGTTGGTTTAAGGAGCTCAGCTTCACCATACGCAGGAGAGTCAGTCACCGAGGGCACCTCCCGAAGGCATCCAGCTGCCTGCGGTCATCACACGGCCCCGATGCAGAACCCCCGTTTTGTGTAAGTTTTAGTAACACCTCATGGCGCAGGCCAGTCCTGCCCCGCCGGCTGCTTGTCCAAGAAGCAACGGAAGCTGAACCTGCTCCGTTTTCAGTCTGAGGGCTTAGGGAGGAAGGAGAGTCAGGAGGGTTCCAGCGGAGGTCAGAGGGAGCCGCTTGGCCTCACGCTGCTCCTTGGCCGCCTGCGGGGCTGGCGAGCGTAGGGCCTGTGGCACCAGGTCCAGGAGAGGCAGGGTCACTGCAGCGAGGCGAGGAACAGCGCTGCAGGCTCTGCAGAGCAGGGCTCCTTTACCCTTCGCGGTCTTGGCTGCGACTTCCATCACATGAGACGCTCAAGGAGATTGTATTGGTTTCACCCCCTTGTGCTCTGAAAAGGCTGAGTGAGCTGTTGGCTAAAATAAGCAGATTAAGGTAGTTAATCCAGGTAAGGCTGGCTAAGAACATTGTTGCCATACTTAGGGCATTTCACCCTTCTGGGGAAAACCCCATTTTTAACCTGCTAAAGCTACCTTAACACGCCAGTGGAGTTCATGCACTACATGAGGATAACCAGGAGGCGTTTTTCAGTTCAGGCAGCTCTGGCAGCCTTCGTCTTGGTGGGCTGCAGGCAGCCAGGGCTGAGCCTGCCCTAGCAGAGCCCTGCTGCCACAGCGCCACCCATGCAGCCGCTGTCAGGGAAGGGAGAAGGTACAAACCCAGCCTTGGCAGGTTTTATTGCCCACTCTCTACAGTTAAGGGTTGAGCACCGCACAGCCAGAGCTCGGCCATGGCACCAGTAGCCAAGGGGCAGCTACATCCTTAGGGATCAAGTTGGCCTGTGGAAAGCTGAGAACAGTTTGTACATTTTTAAAGCTGAGTGGCACACACAGAAGCACTAAATTATCAGCAGTAATAAACCACTGAAGGGACTAGACAGAAATCCCAAATGGCTTTTACAAGTCGTCTGCTCCGGCAGCTGTTCCCCTGATGCAGTGAGGAAAACCAGCAAATCATTTGTGAGCAAGAGTGGTGACCTTCCGCAGCCACTGTCGCTGCTCCCCAGCATCCGAACTGGGGCAGACCCCGAGGTGAGGGGGACACAAGCATGAGAACAGCGACCACACAGCTGACAGCACAACAGCAGCTTCTCCGCTCTTTGCCTTCCCCTCCTTTGCTGTGGACAAACACCACAACACCAGGGAGAAACTGCTTACTTCCTTCCGGGCTCCGGCCCCAGACAGGCTTGTCCTCGTCCCCTTGGCACAGCAAGGGGAAGGGGAGCCCCACCTGAGCCCCGCGGGGAGGATGCCAATATTAGGTAATACAGGTGCCAGCTGCACCAGGGTCACTGTTCCTGCTTGGCAGGGAGGGGCGTGATTACTAGTTACACACAGAGCTTGACTGGAAACTTTATTTGCTTAGAAACACATACACAAAATCCCAATGCCCATTTTTAAATAACTTTGAGAATGCGATGCATGTCTTCGAGAAACTGGCCACACAAAGCCTCAGCACTGCAGGCGGCGGGCAGCTCCACCCTTAACGGGGTGCAGTTTTAGAGAACCTGCTTCTCCACATCCTTTGTTTTTCAGAATTTGAATGCCTAGGAATTACTATCGGGGAGTGGAGGAGAGGAAGAACAAGAGCACGGTCCCCCACTGTCAGTCAGACCCATCCGCCCACCTCCAGGAAGCATGGAATAGGGCCACAGGAGCCAACACTGGAAGCAACAGTCAAAACACGTGGTAAGACCTTATCTGGCCCGTCCCCTTCAAGCATCAAGATTAAAAGCTATACCACTATGCCAACGCTACAACTAACATTAAACAGCTAAGCTACAACTAACATTAAACAGCTAAAATGCAACCTTCTACCAAACACACAGAAATGTACTTTGCAGACATTCCAAAGAACATACGTAACCAATTCACAGTATCTCCTTAATACAGAGTGCCCTACATCAGAAACTATACCTAAGACGCCACACAAACTTGACATCAAATCCTTTCATAGCAGGAGGACACTTAACCTCTTCCTGTGTCTGTGGGAGAGCTTAGTGCACTTGAGAACACGGTCTTCGCTCAAACCGAGCGCAGCACAGGCTGCTGTGCCAGCTCCTCCCCTCTCTGCCAAAGCAAGTTCAGCTGGATGCTAACAAGGAGAGGCTGCCCCAGACACTCCTCAGGGGCTTTGATAACTACACAGACACAGCGACAGACCATCACCTGCGACACAAAGGGAAGCTGCAGGCTGGTGCCTCATCAGAAGTTCAGCGCAGGTTTCTCAGCTGCTGGTTCTCAAGTGGACTAAGGAAACCAGTGGCAGCTACTGCTCTGGCCAGAGTGGAGGTGCAGTATGAAGTTGTAGTGTGGTATTAAGCTACATTTGCTTTACACCCACCAGTTTGTGTGACAGTGCTAAACATGACATCTATTCCTACAGAGACTAACCGTTACCTAAACATGACATCTATTCCTACAGAGACTAACCGTTACCTAACTAGCTTGTTAACTACAGGTCTGCAAGACAACACAAAACATCCAAGTGCTCAAGAAACACATCACTATAAGGGGTCTGACATTTGTCTCAAGTTTTTCCCCTTCACAAGTCACCAGCGTGTCCAGTGTTAGGGCTGAGAGGAGAGGGACTTGTACTTCGCTCGGTGTTCATCTATTTCTTCCTTTGTTTTTCTGATACAGCTAAAAATTTCCTTGAAGAGTGCTTTATATTCAGGAAGAGCATTTGTGGGAGAGTCACTCAGCTCCACATTTGTGAATTCCTGACTGCTAGCTGGAAGGTCATACTGTGCATTCCCCACATTTAGGTCCTTGGAACACTGCTTCTGTGTCTGTACAGCCTTGTGTTTCAAAGAATCTTCATCCATTTGACACTTCTTCAGAAGTTCCTCATACTTAACTTTCAGAGCGTTATACTGAGCATCAACTTCGTTAAGTACCGAGATTCCTCGCTGCTTCACAGCTTCAGCTCTCCTAATACAGGTTTCTTCATGGCCCCTTAAAAAGTCTCCCCCTGCAGCACTGCTCAGGAAGGTTTCGCTGATGCTCCGTTTCAGTGCCTTCTTGTCAAGCTCCAGGGCAGTCAGAAGTCCATCATCTGCCAGGCTCTGACCAAGCTCCCCCTCTAAAGATTCCTTGAATGAAATGAAAAAGGATTCTGGCACTAGTTTCTCTGCATGACGGAACGCGTGTTCAGACTGAAGTATTTGTTGCAGTTCAGTTACTTCCAATTCCAACTCCTCTGCACGAGCCCGATACAAGTCCATATCGACAAGTCTCTGCTCAAGGTCATAGTTTTCTTTCACCATGAGACTGTACTCCTCCTCCATTGTTACCCTCTTCTCTTTTTCTAGCTTAAGTTGGGCTTGCAGAACTGTAACTGCCTTTTTTAAGTTCTCGTTTTCTTCTTCCAGAGGACTCAGCTGACTATCCATCGAAGCAATCTTTTCCGCAAACACGTGATCGTAAACAAAATACCTGCAGGAACAAAAGCAAGCGTTACCGAAGGTAGGAGGCACAGCTGACCACACCTCCCCCAGTTTTCCTGGCCCGGGTAACAAGCGACAGATGTAAACTGTGCTAACACACCTCAGAGTATGGATAGCTGCCATCTGACTAGCCTACCGGTCCGTTTCACGACGGAGCGGAGTTTGTACACGGCTGTCATCAGATCAAGCCTCTCAGCTCAAGCAGAACGGCAGCTCGCTCACAGTTTCAAGTTACAGACAGGCTGATTGAATAACCAGACCTGCAGTTCAAGCTGAAATAAGCTTGCTTCCACATATCCTGTAATACTTGGACACTTGGGGGTTTTTTCATCCCCAGCACTTCCCTCCTGTAACTTCTGTCAATATTTATTGTGGAAACAAGCTTCCAAGTTGGCAAAGGAATGGTGCAGGCTGGTATTTCCACAAGCCTTCGGCAGTTTGAAGAAATCCACCCATCTTGTGAACCATCAAGAGATCACTTCTTTTGGGATGTATGGATTTACTCTACAGCCCTATCTCCATGCAGTGCTGAGGCCCAGACACCAAAGCCTGTTCTGCCTGCCTGTGGAGGTGCTTCACTTCCAAATGCCCCGCCTTGGCCTGAAGGAGTCAGAGCTTTACCCCAGGGGACTCTCCTGAAGGGCATGCTAATGCAGCTCAGCTGGGGAAATCTGCTCAAAATTAAAAAAGTAGCCCCGAGGTCGAGGCACCATTTTACCAGCTTAAGAATCATTTTAACCAGCTTAAGTTCAGGAAAGCTATTGCAGGAATCCTGCCTTCCTTCGAAAGGAGATATGCACCGACATCCAAGGAAAGGGTAAGTTACAGGGTGTTTGGGTTTTAGATTATCTGTGCATATGCTTTTGTCCAACTGAGAAATGTGGGTGCAAATCACTGCAAGCCTTTAAGCTACAATTTGATAGAGTTGGAGGCTTTAGGACAGAACCTTTCGAGACAGAAAGTAGAACCTGCAGTTCCTCTCACATACACTAGCAGTATGCCAGAGGCAGTGGCAACACCACAGCACAGGACTGCAGATAGAGTCCTAGTTGCGAGCATTAGATGCTTTTCTGCTAGCTTGTTTGACAACTGTGCTTTTGTCTTAGTTTTTAAAGCTGTGCTTAAAATAATACCAGTATTCTCTTTGTATGCAAGGTAAGAAGACTTACTGGCGAAGGTCATACAGCTCCTTCAAACATGAGAAACTGTGCATTGATCTTGGCTGGTCAGATCGCTCACAGCTCATCCGGCCTCGTCCAGCCTTCTTCAGGTCTTCTACTTGTTGTTGCAGGTCATCTATGTGTGTTTGCAGATGTTCAATTGTCTGTGTCAAGCTAAAAGGTAAAGGACTGCTGTTAAAACATTTGTGTGTTTAATCAAGGACATAGGAGTTTCTCATCCCCTCATTTGGTAGTTTCTTCTCTGAAGGCTTCTTTTTGGCCCCAAAAGACCTTTAAATAAAGCTATCCTTTCCAGTTAACAGTATTGTAGAACAAGCCTAGACAGAGACAGCCACCCAGTAACTACCCAAATACCCCTGGACTGCTCTTTTTGTATTATCAACTGGGGTACGTGGGGAGGGGATCCAGGACAAGTTTCTTACCTTAAGATCTTTTGTTGGGAAGCTTTGCTCTCCTCAGCTAGTCTTTTATTAGTGTCTTCTAGTTCCCTTGCTGTCACATCCAGCTGTTCATAGACTTTTGCATGCTGATCATTCATCTGATTCAAGAGCTCCGCTTGCCTTGTGAGGTACTGCAAGACAGAGTTGCCATTACTAGTTTGTACCCGAGGCACAACGAGAGGAGTACTGTCTCATATTTGTATTCACATTCATAGAGAAACTACTGAGTTATAGAAACATTGATTTGGGGGTTGCTGTGGTACGTGTTCAGTTGTAGAAGCACTGTCAGTAGCTCGACAAGCCAGCTTGCCGCTGTCGTACCCAGGCTGATGAACCAGCCTTTTATCCAGGAGCTGGGTTTGGCTGTGCAAGCTGTTTCTCTCCTTGCCACAGCTCGGCTTTTGCCAGTACCCAAGCCTTTGGACGGGCTTTGCCCGTGCTGCAGTTGACATTAACACAGCCATGAATCCAGACTTCAACACAGCCCATAACTATCCACTGAGTTCTGCTAAAAACTGCAGTGGGCTCCAACAGAAATTCTGTAACAGTGTTGACCCAACAATTTTCTTGGCATTAAAACTGAAATATTGGGTAGCACCATCCATAATTAAATTTCTTTTCAGCTGACCTAAGTGTTTCCAGTCTGACACAGCATTTGATCCAGGAGAACAGAACTTGGGTTGTAGTCAGACTTAAAAGAGAGTATGTGGGTTACTGTGTGTCAGGAAATATAATCAAATTATTCAATTCAATCTTTAATTACCCACAGGGACCTATTCCAGTTACTGTAACTCCAAACAAAGGTCTCCTGCCTTTGTTAAAAAATAAAAATCCACATGAAGTGCTCTCATTTTAATCCCCTTTAGTTTTACAATTAACAACATGACTGTTAAGTTTCTCGAGTAACGTCAGAAAGCTTGGAATTCGCAAAGAGCAGTTAACAATCATCTAAGGCCCTTAATACAAGGGTCTTACATTGTCCCACCCAGGATAGGGCTGATCCCGTTCTAAAAATCCATGTGAGAGTCTACACCAGACAGGCGTGAACACAAACAACTCTTAACCCTTTAAACAAGAAATAGCTTGTTCTTAATAGAATTTATTTCTTGCAATATATTCTGTTATTACTGCATTCTACTTACTGAAAAGTAAACTTCAACTGGGGAGAATGAATTCTTTTTACATAGGCCGGTTACATACTCAAAACTTCTAATATTCTACTTAACCTTTTACCTCATTAAAAGATTGATGGGCTTACATTTTAGGCAATTTAAGAACAGATAATAAGTTAATCTAGGACTAGTAACTGCTACACACAGGCTTCTGGAAGATCAACATGATAGCAGTTGGCTAGATCCTTTTGTAGCCTGTGTGCACATGACAGAGGATTTACACAAAAATAGTACATGGATTAGCAGCAGAATCTCAATGTGACCCATTTTAGATGAACTTTTTCTATTGGTTATGCTCTGGGGGAGCTTGAGATCTTCAGATTTTCTTCAGCCATACAAGTGTGGCTAAGCAGAAACCAAGGCTCTGGTGCCAGAATTAGATGTTACCACTTACTACAATGGGCTTTTACGGAAGATTTATACGAACAGAAGATGCAAAGCACCATTTCTCCACCTCGCATCTCCAGTACCTTCAGCGCTGGTGTCAATGAGGTGCAGCTGCGGCAGTAAATACTCTACACGTTCGCATTTATTCCACCTCCCCTGCAACTGAGCGCCTAACATGAAGCGGCAGTCAGCACTCTACCACACAATGAAAGGAGAGCATCTGTATTTCTGAAGTCTGAGTGCTGGGTACAGGTTCAGACAGGAATAAAGTTGCCCTTTCAATCCAGCATTTATTACATCTGCAATGATTAGTTAGTGGCACACGTGTCAGCACAGAGGTCACATATAATGATCCAAGGCTGTAAAACATTTTATATGTCAGCGCTGAATGTATCAGATGTAATCTTAAGCACCTCACAGCCTTTGACCCTTCCTTTTCAGAGCAGATGAGGTAGTGCCATACTTAAGAATGATTTCTTAACCAGTTCTAGACTTTGCTACCCCTAAGATAATAGGAAAGAAATGCCAAAGATTTACACTGAGAATACTGCACTGAAGAAATGCAGCAGAGTAGGTGCAGCAACAGCTGAAAGATCACCTTTAGGTTATGGAGACGAGCACTTGAAAGTTTGAAATAATCAAGCATAGAGACGGGATATGCCATGTGCACACGTACCCCGTGCAGTGGGGTACCCTGCGTTCCCACAAGAGACAGAAATACAGGTATGAAAATTACTGAACTGCTTTTACCAGCTGAAAAATAATGCACCTTTCATATGCTAATTTATTTCTCTGTTTCAGTGAATTCTTGCAACAATCCCTTGTTCCAGCAAGCCAATATAGTCAGTTCTCCACCTTGAGGTTCTCTCTAAGTATTTGAGGAAGGGTTTCATTTGATTTTTCCTTTTCTGCCAGAAATCCAGATACAAGAGAGACTTATTTGGAGAAAGTAATGTTTTTAGTTGCCAATGCACTTCTAAACTGCACCACGACAGAAGACTGACAGGTGGTGGAACAGAGAAGACAGCATGTTATTAGGGAATACAATCTACAGGTTCTTTGATTCAGCACAGTAAGTTTGGCAAACAAAGGTGCAGGCACTACTTTTCTGTCAGACGCACCACAAAAACTGTTTGCCCACCTCTCACCCCTTCCTGATAGGACAACCCAATATAAGCTGCTACCCATGCTGGGGGAGAGTAGGAAAGACAAGAAAAGGCTATCAGATAAAGCCTTCAAAAAGCAGTATTGCACAAGTCTTGATTTGGGTTTTTTTGGATTGGCTAAGCAAAGCAAGATATTGAGAGAATAATTAGTCTGTCACTGCCTGAGACTATCTGAACATACAAGTACTTGACCCTGCAACACATCACCTGTAGATCACTGCTAGATGGACCGTTCTGACCACTGCCTGGTGCTGAAGCTCTCTTCCTCAGCTAACGAATACTGATCTGCCAGAAAAGCTTCAGCAAATAGACTGGCTTCAACCAACAGGATATGATATCCCTAATGGCACTGGACTATTTCTATAAATGAATGCAGCTTAGCAACAATACATTTTCTGTATTTCCAGATAACAAAAATATAGCTGCTTATTAAGTAGCTACACTCAATGAGCCAGGTTAGTTATCTATTGCAAAGTTAGGCGTGTTGTAACTGCATTAAACACTTCCGTCAACACGGTTGTTCATGCAGGCATAGAACTTTAAGTAGAAAAACACCTGTGTGGCACCCTGAAGTGTTTGTCCTTTCTAGATCTTCAGAACACAAAGACCATTCAAGGCAATGAGTTATTTTAAATCTCTGCAGAAGTACATACATTTTTTTGTAACGCTGTGGCACTAAAATAAATATGAAACATTCCAACCATTGTATCAGAGGGTGAGTAGGGTAATAGAGATTATATTCAGCACATAAGAGAGGAAAGAGCCAAAGCATGAGGTATAGAACAGAAATACCTTAAAAAACCCAGCCAAAACCCTGCACCCAGAAATTGTGCATCACTTAGTCACGTTAACACAAATGCAGCATTTTGACTGCTTTAGAGAGACCTATATCCCCCTAAGTATTAAGCTTAGGATTCTATTGCCCATTACCACTACAATGAGAAGCGGTCTGACTCTTAAGTTGCAGCTGTACAAAATCCACACACCGTCCATAACTGCTTACATACTGCTTGCACAAAGGAACTCTGAGTGTGTGAAGATGTAGAGTATACTAGTTGGCCTGTTCCCTGTGACTCGTACCAGAACCAAAGCAAGATGCTGACTGTGTTTCCAATACGCTGTCAGTCAGCAAAGTCTGAATATGTAACAATTTAATTATTGGAGACCATGCACTGCCCTCTAATAGATGAAAAAAATTCATTGTGCTGACAAATGCTAGGTCTGCAAGAACACAAGCAGTATTGAAAAAAAAAAAAAAAAGCCAAAAACGGCCAGGTTCTTCTACCAAGTAACACAAAGATGAGTGGTTTTGAAAGGATGGTCATGTTTCCACCCCCTCAAGAAAATACAGAACAATATATCCACTGTGTCCTGTATTTAGATACTATTTAAATGTTTAGGTTTGATGGTGGGTTGGGGTTTTTTTTGGGGGTGTGTGTGTTTGCTTGCTTTGGCATTTGGGTTGGTTGTTTATTTCAATGTAAAAAAAACAAAACAAAAAACACCCACACACACCATTTTCAGCTCCCTTTACCTCACCTCAGTTTAGTGGAAGTACATGTCCCCAGATCTCCTGCACTTATCAGGATATAATTCGTTAGTGGTTACTGCACTAAAACCTCATGTAATTTAAATTACAAATTTATTCATCATATAATTTCACATCATTTAACCTAACAGGATCAGCAAAGTTTAGCAATAAACTAACTGAGGTAACTTTTCTGTACAAAACCAAAAATACCAGTAATTCGTAATTAAACAAGCCAAATCCAATGTGAAGTTTAATGGCACAAAGCTGCTAGTAATCAGTCAAACTGTTCTAACTATGATCAAGCCTATACAGGTTCTCATATTCTCAAAGTAGCAGAAGTAGTTGAGATGTGAATTTCTTGACACCTTCAAGAAAAATACTGAACAATCTTTAACTTATGTGCTATTAGTTGCAGGTTTAGATGCTTTCACATTTGGATCCTTTAAATATTTACCTCTATCTCCTGCAGTTGCTCTTGATTTGTTGCATACATTTGCTGTAAAGATTCTTCTAGTTCAGTGTTACGGTCCAGTAGCGTCTTCCCAAGCTCAGCAGCAAGGTGAAGATCTAAACAAAGAAATAATGCTTGCACATAAGTTATAGAGCCAATAACAATCTAAAGCATTTTAATCAATCACTTGAGGTGTTGGTTTTTTTTTTTTTATTGCCAGTGTAACTGCTGTAAGTTATCTCCAGTACCCAAAAAGAAAGTCAGCTTATACTTAAGCAGAACATTCATACACCATTTATAGTGCAAGTTTAAGTCAGTCCTGAAACCTAGAAGATACTCTTATTTCATGATGCTTCCTTGGTTCCTCTTTGGTCCTTCAGCCACAGGTCAGACACATCCAGGCTTCTTCTCTTTACTTCCCACGATCTGCCGAGTACTGCGCTAGCATCTCTGCCCAACGTGTCTGTTAGTTACACTTCACCATGTTTACAGCACTCATATTTTAGAAAAATAAGCTTAAAAGCCCCTGGAAGTGTTCTCCAGGCTAGACCCAGACCAAAGCTGACTGCAGTCTTTATCAACTTGCTGTTCTTCCCCATTACTCCTTCACCAAGGAGCTCAGGTCATACAGGATAAAAGTGCTAAATCAAAGTTTCTGATGCTTTTTAGTGGTGAAACAATAATAGCAAAAAACATAAAACTGACAAAGAAATGTAGCTATTCTGCTTTTCAAGCTCATAAACCTACGAGACAAGAATTGTTTTATGCGCTCCAAAACATGATTGTATCATTTGTTCTCAGTATTTAATCTCAATTTCACTTCAGTCATCTTCAATCACCTCCAGGGTGCAGGGACTGCAGTTGTTTCAAATTAAGAAATAAGTTATCCTAACACTCATGTAGAGGGAAGCTGGGTATTTGTTCAACAGCATCAGTAGTGCTAGATATTCCATATCATTATGTATCAAGATGTGCAATTTAAAAGCCAATATATTGTGACAAAGAAAATAACCTTGGTGTTATTGCCAAAACCCTAATTACTCTGTGTGGGTATTACATATTAAGAGTACAGCAAACTTAAAAAATCTCTAATTTGCCCCCTCCTTCCCACCACCAGAACCACGAGCAGGTTGTCTTCTGAATGTGTGCAATACAACCTTGTTAGTTTTCACACAGAACTTGCATCACTAATGGGAAAGAGGCAAAAGAACAGTCAAGAAAAAACTTAGATTCACTTCAAGACGACTGAAGTCAATATACAAGAGATATGTAGTTCATCGCCAGTCGTTGTAGCTAGACAAGAAAACACATTCCGTTTTCATATGATTAAGGTGCCGTTGTTTTATCTTACCTCTTTCCTGCCCTTAGCAGGAAAATCTTATCAGCTAGTCACTGTAAGAGACACAGCACTGTTCCAGGATTGTTTTGTGCTAACCTTCAGCTTGGCAGCCTGTCCAAAGTGATTACTCCATCCCATCTACATACCTAAGCCAAAGACCGAACTCAGACTTACAAGGACAAAGGAGTAGGAGTCTATTAAGTTGTAGATGTCCAATCCTGGCTAAGGAATACCACAGCAGCTGTGGTATTCTTTACAGCCACGGTGCATTGTTTCCTACCTCAAGATCAGATTCTTAGAATAAATGCAGCAAAAAATATCTGAAAAACAATTCACAGTGCTTGGGAGTTCTTCAGAGTTTCAAAGGATGTGTGACAAGGAGCTACCTGGCACACTGATCTATACTTGGGAGTCTATCCTGATGTAGCTTTTTCATTGTAACACCACTTGTTAAGAAATGCAGCCTATTATAGAGCTGGGGTTTGAAGTATTCGGTTAAGAAAACCTTATGGCACCCTGCTTAAGTTCTTCCCATTTTTAAACACAGACTGTACATTATTTACCCATGCACAGACAAGTCCCACAGCAAACAGCTTGGTGTTTGACTATCACACTACAGAATACTGTAGTCTTCAAATCCAGCAAAATCTATCATCCAATGTAAAACGGAGTCCCGATTCATGTAGTTCTCATGCTACACTAATCTTCACGAGAGCCACAATGACCAGCTTTAGCTAGTCAACAATACTGGCACCATTCAAGGCAAAGTCTAAATAGTCCCTGCTTTTAACAGAGTAGAATAAGAGCTTTAGAGCGGATTTAGGATTATGCTAAAGACATAATGCATAATAGAATTATGTGCTGCATTTCCCTTCCCAAAGTGAAAGTCTGTTTTGATGGTTAAGTACATTTAGGAATTGATAGTTTCATTCTTAAATGGCCCCCTCATCTACTAAATCAAGTAGTACATACCACGCAGTAGTCCGAGTACAATGTGAAGAACAGAATTCATGATATACGTACACACTCATTCTGTTCATTAGAATGGCAGCAGCACAGGTGAGTTACTGTGGGACAAGCATGCTATTTTGTAATTAAGATAATTTGTTTGATGGGGGAGAAGACAAGCAGAAGAGCTCAGGAACATGCAATAAAACCCTAACTCGTACCCCTAGAGAAACGAAGAACAGAAACAATTTTACCTCTTCTGAAATTAAGAACTTGCTTTGCACCCATTTTTCTACATCATTAAGTACCTGTAAGTCCTATGAAGAGCAAATTTTAAAAATGAGATATGATACATATGTTCTCCAGATGCAGAATTTCTTACAGAGTTACTGTACAATACTGGAAACTCAGTGCATTTTCTCTTGTAAATTTATGTAAAGTAACAGCATAGCTGTTCTGTCAGAGACACTTATTTTTCATTTTCACCATGAAGATGCAAGCGGTGGGGTTTGAATAATGCAAACTGCCTGCATGCAGAACTTGACTTCCCTTTTAGTCAATCTGATCAGTTGTAATGGTGCTTTAACAGCTCCATCAGAAATCTCTAAACCAAAACAAGACTTCCCATAGACATCATCTTCTGTGATGTTAAACAGCCCCCACTCACCCACACTTCTCCACAATCTCTTCTGACAGTGTTACTATCATCGAAAAAATAGAACAGTAGCAAAATCCTTCTCTTCTACCTTTAATAACACACCTAACAAAGTGATTCAGAGAATTTTCAATCTGAAAATAAGTGTGTTCTTTTCAACAGCAAATGGCATTAGTCATACAAGATTGGTAAGCCTGATGAAGTTTACTTAACTAAAATTAAACACTTAATTTTTGTTTTTAAAACTTAGCTTCACATTTCCTACTCCACCTTCAGATTACCCTCTGTTCTGTTAAAGTGAGGAACAACAAGATGTAAAAAGAGCAGTCACAGAAAAGAACTCTTTTTCAAAGGACAGCATGCTGCAGCAAAACATGGATGCTGCAAAAGGAAGGATGGCTGTTCCCATCCTTAAAAGAATTTCCATGAGTGCTCTCTTTTCATGAAAAGCATGCTAGAAAAGCCCAACTCCACTGTCCAGGCAAAATCTTCCAGTGCATACAAGGACTGTCAAAGTTTTCCCAAAGACTGGCTCACAAGGACTACAAGCTTGTCTCAGGGTGCTTCTAATGTTTTACAACGTAGGTTTTGTCATAAACTTACTCCTCAGTTTTTAAAGGTGCACTGATTGTTTGGATGGAGAAAAGTTTAAAGAGACCTTGATAAGCAATCTTACTACTCAGTTTGCATACACTGGTATTGCTTAGTCTTAGGAGGAGGAATAAAGTGTAACAGAATATTAAAAAAAAAAAAAAGGAGTAAGGAATTTCTTCTTTGCATGTCAACTTGTCCCTAAGTTTATTTTCCTCCTTTCCCTTCTGGCAAGGCTATTAGTCACTTCCCGTTAGGCTTGTAAAGATGTAATCCCCAGAAAAAGATTGTTCAAACACTGACAGCGCATTAACCAACCCTCAAAATGCACTCGCCTCTAGAATGGAACACTCTTTAAGACTTCACAGCAGAGAGCCAAATGGTGATTATTTCACTTAATTAAAACTAAAGAAATACCAATAAGGCAGGAAGTCAGCTGCTCTACACTGTGAGGTCTCTCTGTAGGTCTTCCACCTCTTAAACACCAACATAGTAAAAGCATTGCTAAATCATGTTTTAGGATTTTCAACTCTTCCCTTCGGCAGCAATCTACTGTTTCAGGATCTTACTTGATTGGTTTGTATCCTAGAGCCATGAAAACATCCTGTTCCCGCAGAGAGTACCTAAATACGGTTTTCAAACAGCTATTTTTTAGTCAAAGCATACAATTAGAGAACTATTCCTGCCTCAAAAAAGAGTTTCTGCTGTCAGATGCCTGATCTCAGTGTGAAAACGGCTTGGCTAGGAAGAGCTGTCGGGAGTCTCTTGCTCTGTGGTTTATAGTAAGGTAGTACCTACTAATCCCAAGAATTAATGTACTTCAATGCAAAAGACAAAAGCTAAGGTTTGCAGGAAGCCACTTCACAGCTTTGAGTTGGCCTTCTAAAACAAACTAGGGATTAATAACAAAAAGCAGAACTAATGGTAAATACCAGTCACAAATGCCACTAAACTCTTAAGGAAACTGCACATTCCCCATCATGTCTGTAGATTTTTAGTCCAAGTATACTTTGTGCGTTCCTGCGACCCCTTCCACATCTGAGAAACGAGGTTACCATTTACCTTTGCAGGTAGTGTTTGAGACCTCTCCACAGGATAACATACAGGAGCTAGAGAAGTGTAATTCTGATGCGCAGCGGAGTTGTTTGCGTATTTTAAGAAGAAAACTTGGGAAGTGTTTAATAACGGCCCTGTGACCAATGGAGCACAGCTCCACGTGCAACTTCATCGACTACAGGTAAGCCTTTACAAAAAGGCTCAACAGGGCGCAGTACAGCAACCCACCCAATGCTTCCAGCAGCCCCAGACAGCTGCTTCACGTCCTGCCAAGGGGCAGCTCTTCGGAGAGCCGCTTCCCTCCTTCCCTCCCTCCCGGGGGGAGAGGAACCCAGGCACAACTCCGCTGGGCTGCGGCAGCTCCTCCCGTCAAACAAAGCCGGCTGCAATCTCCATCGGTAGCAGCGATCCCCTGCCTACGCGCCCAAGGC